GCGGGGGGGGGGGCAATGTGTAGCCTGTATAATTAAAAAATTGTAAACCGCCCGGAGAGGGCTTGTAGTGCTATGGGGCGGTATATAAGTCCAAAAAAAAAAAATGCTGGAGAGACAGGCAGATGGCAGCAAATGCAGTGGAGGAGAATGCAGTTGTGATAAGGAGGGAGGGATTTTGGGAGAGGTGTTTTTGAGTCCCTATTCTTTTAATCAAGGACGCCCCATAAACCCGGAAGACGTTTTGCAATGCTTACCAGAAGATGCTGGAGAGAGGGGCAGATGGCAGCAAATGCAGGAGAGGAGAATTCACTAGTGATAGGGAGGAAGGGATTTTGGGAGAGGTGGGGGGGTGAGGGAAGGCAAGGCAGGCAGGGCAGATGGGACCAAACATGGGTGGTTCGTATGCCTCAGGACCTACACACACACACGCCCCACCCAGCACCCCCACACACCCTTTCTTCTGGGGAAAAAGGTTGTTTTTATAAGAGATGTGAGAGCCAAAAACTTATCAACATCCCTGCAAGATCCTTTTGGGGGTTTTGCTGTAACAGAATTGACGCGACTATCTCTCTGGTCCTTCGTAAAGTGCAATAATAGCTTAAATGCTAACTACAGATCTTTTTCACTCCTGTTTGCCTGCCTGTCTCCAAGCATGTGCCTATTTTAAGTGGTCCTAAGCCCTGTTTTGTCCTCTCTTTTCCCCCACAGTGATGTGTGGCATTTGTTTGTTTCATTTCATTCTGGGGGAAATATGTGTCACCGGCTACTCTATCCCCAAGAACCCATCTCCGATGCCTGAGTAACAGGAGTTACCTTGCACTGAAAAACACCAAGAGTGTTTCCAGAATGCCTTCTTGTTGTTTGAGGTCTAGCCATAGGTCTCGGCAGCCGGGATGACCCTCCCATGATTTCAGAGACGATGGCCCTTGGAGGGCCTCCAGAAGGGATCATAAGGGGCAGGTAGGTTCGTGAGGTGGAAGGGAGGTCACACATTGTCACGCAGAGCTAGGCAAGACCCTTGGTTGAACCCTGGAGAGATGCTGCCAGCCAGCATTGACAACATTGGGATGGATAGCCCAGTGATCTGACTCAGCAGAAAACAGCTACTTCCCCAGAAGCTTGCTCAAGACAGACCGACAAACGAGCAAACCAATAACAAATGGCCAGTGAAAATGCTACAGCCACCGTACCACACTGCTGCCTTGCTTTTCATGCCATAGTTTGTCCACCTAGACCAGGTCATTGCAGAGAGTGGAAAAGATCTCAAAAATGGGCTTCTGCTTCATGTTATTGTCTTCCTGATGGAGAACTGATTGAAAGATGGCCAATTTGCTTTGCACGCAAATCTGAACAATCATTAACTTGTTCTGAAAAAGGTTCTGCTCAGTTTAGCAATTTCTGAAGGCTCAATGTTCAACAGGTATGATGCAACCAGCCATGTTTCTGAATGTTATTGTCTTCCTGATGGAGAACTGATTGAAAGATGGCCAATTTGCTTTGCACGCAAATCTGAACAATCATTAACTTGTTCTGAAAAAGGTTCTGCTCAGTTTAGCAATTTCTGAAGGCTCAACGTTCAACAGGTATGATGCAACCGGCCATGTTTCTGAATGCTTCTGAATCCACAATGGAATAGTTTAAGATCTGATGAGACAATACTCTGGTTTCTTTTTGTTAGAACCTTTTTTTTTTCCTCACCAGATTTTGACGGGTTCCAAATTTGCATAATCACCCAAAGGGATCTGGCCACTCTTGGTCTCCTAACAGTAAAAACTGGGACTTCTTTCCTTTTTAAACAAACAAGCATAGCGTATTTTGCAGCTGGAAGGGGTATCCTTATTGTTGTTTCATTCACTAGCTGAATGTCTTCTGTTGATAGCTATTACTGAGTTGGGCTGCTTTTCTTTCCAGCAGGCCAGGAAAATTAGGGATGTACTAATTCTGATATTGCACCTTTAAAATGCTTGGGAAAACACAGAAGACAAAACAAACCAGTAGTTTGCTTGTTGCAGAGATTGGCATAAAATTCCAAGACAAACTACACGTCATGAGGAGCATCTGCATTTTCTTATTGGCTACTATACCACTGCATCATTCCCTAGGTAAAGGTAAAGGTTCCAGTCTTGTCTGACTCTAGGGAGCGGTGCTCATTCCCATTTCTAAGCCATAGAGCCAGTGTTTTGTCTGTAGACAGTTTCCGTTGCCACGTGGCCAGCGTGGCTAGACATGGAACACCGTTACCTTCCCACCAAGGTGGTCCCTATTTATCTACTCCCATGTGCATGCTTTCGAACTGCTAGGTTGGCAGGAGCTGGGACAAGCGACAGGAGCTCACCCTGTCGCGTGGATTTGATCTTACGATGGCTGGTTTTCTGACCTTGCAGCACAGAGGCTTCTGCGGTTTAACCCGCAGCGCCACCACATCCCTCCTGCGTCATTCCCTCTTTGTGGTCTAATCTTAACTTTATTGGAATTCTTCTTTCATTGGGTCTTGCCTATCCATTTTTAATCCCACCCCCGAATCCTAGTCCACCGCTCTAACTGATACACCACACTAGGGTGGCCAGTACGCCAAACGGAACTCCGGAAATTGATATTCAGTGTAGCTTTAAGACATCTTGCACACAAAGGCACAAACACTAACAAACAACCCAGAACATGTTGTGTGGAAAAACTGAAGTTTGCTGCCCCACATGCTCTTGCCGTTTCCTGTTATTGGGTGAAAACTATCTGATATAATCATTAACTGTACCATGTACAACGAACAAGGAGCAAAAACAAACTACATGTGGGAGGTATTTGGTAACCAACAAACCCATAATTCACTTCTTGCCTAGATTCACCCAAAGCTCAAGGACTTGAATGTTTTTACTGGATTCACTCCAGCTCTTCGTTGGGTCTTGGGTGTGAAAACGATGCTTTTTCGCTACAGAAGAGGCGGATTAGTTAACTCTTGTTCTGACTGGAGCACGTAAAAGCCCGCCCAACTTGCTAAGGAAGCTCATATTGTCCAGCAGGAGGAGGGGAACATTCTAGAACATTCGTCGAAAGGACTTTTACATCCCAGAGTGTTGGCTACAACTGAAAGATTCCAGTTTCTTCTTCTTTCTCACAGGTATTTATTAATTTATGCACTCAGGCTCCAGTCCTATGCATGCTTAACTTCAGAGTAAGTCTCCCCAAATAATTGCTCATTGAGGAAAGCCAACTGCCTGTGTGGGTGGCTTCACCATACCTGGGAAAACATCAGTGCTAAGCAGATGTCCCAAAGAGGCATCTGAGTGATTCACCTCATGGAGCAGTGCTGGGTGAAGGCGATGTAGTTTTCACAGTTCTGGATAAGGAAGATACTGGCAAAAGCAAAGAAGGAGATCAAGATAGTTTAGGGTGGGAAGCCAGAGAATGGGGAGGGAAAGGAGACACTGGATAGTTATATCAGCTACAATTTTTAAATGATGATATGAATTAGGGTGATGCATTTGGATTCAGAAATATTCAGGATTCACAGAAGAATGCCATATTTGATAGCTCGGAAGGGAAGAAAACAAATACAGTGGTGCCTCGCATTACGACGTTAATTCGTTCCAGCGAAATCGCTGTAGAATGAAAACGTCGTAAAGCGAAAATTAAAAAGCCATTGAAACACATTAAGACCTGGTTAATGCGTTCCAATTGGCTAAGAACTCACCGTCCAGTGATCCTCCATAGAGGTGGCCATTTTCTGGTGCCTGTGCAGCGAAAAATGGCTCCTAAACACAGCGGGGAGCCATTTTGAGCACCCGGTGGCCATTTTGAAAATCTGATGATCAGCTGTTTTGATCATCAGGAAGCGAAAATCGGTTCCCGAAACAGAGAAACAATCATCGCGCAGCAAAATTCCCCCATTCAAAACGTCGTTTTGTGATCACAAAAACCTCGTCATAATGCAGATTCGTCGTTAAACAGAGCGCCCGTCTCGCGAGGCACCACTGTATAACATTAAAAGGGGGGGGGAAACACCTTTGACTACCTACTATATATTTTTTGAAATGTTTGTAGGGTTTTTAGGTCAACCGCATCAAAATTTGTCATGTCACACCTTGCGGGAGGCCTGGATATGATCTCTGCAACAGAAGCTCTCCTGGCTACTCTGGTGTTCGGTCTGATCTTCCTGATCCTGAGATCCTACTGGGATCCAACCCCACAGGGCCGGAAGAGGATCCCAGGACCAGCAGGCTACCCCTTCATCGGCAACATGCTGGAGGTGGGCAAGAATCCCCACCTGAGTTTGACCCAGATGAGCCGCAAGTATGGGGACGTGATGAAGATTCACATCGGTACGACCCCCGTGTTGGTCCTAAGCGGGCTGGAAACTATCCGTCAGGCTTTGGTGAGACAAGGAGCAGATTTCATGGGGCGGCCAGATTTATACAGCTTCCGGTTCCCATCCAACGGACAAAGCATTGTTTTTGGGCACGATTCAGGAGCTGTTTGGCACGACCGAAAAAAACTGGCCATCAGTGGCTTGAAATCCTTTGGATCCTCCCCCAGCCCTGTGTCTCCTTCCATGTGCCTTGTGGAAGAACACGTCTCCCAAGAGGCCGAATGCTTGATTAAGAAGTTACAAGAGGTGATGCTTGAGAAGAAGAGGCTTGAGCCTTCCCGTTATATTGTGGTCTCCGTGGCCAACGTTGTGTGTGCCATGTGCTTCGGCAAACGTTACAACCACGATGACCAGGAACTCCTCAACATTGTCAATGGGTCTGAAATTTTTTCAGAAACCGCAGCCTCTGGAAACCCTACTGATTTCATTCCTCTTCTACGTTACCTCCCAGGCAACAATAGGAAAGTTTTTGAGGAATTCAATAAATCTGCCAGTCTCTTCTTCCAAAATATTGTCAAAAAGCACTATGAGAGTTTCAAAACGGTAAGGAAATTTTAAAAAAAAACCTCAATATGTTTTTGAATGTAGGACTCGGATTGCTTTGAACTTAGACAAGGAGAATGCAGGCTCAGGTCTCCACCTGGCTATGAAATTCAAGAGGCACACACTTTCACTCTGACCTACCTCACAAGTTTGCTGTGGGGGAAAGGAAACGGCAGATGCCCTTTTGAGCTCAGGAAAGATGGAAGGAGAATTAGGGCTCTGTACCAGGTTTGGACAAATTCTGGTAATTATTAATCGAACTGGCCTGATTGAGACCAGTGTGGCCATGGAGCAAAATGAACCTCATACATACGAACATGGGCATATACGTAGAACGTACATTACAGATAAAGTAGATGACATACTATACAGTGGTGCCTCGCAAGACAATTGCTTCACATAACAACAAATTCGCTTTACAATGAGGTTTTCGGAGCGGTCTTGCGCTTCGTTTAACAATGTTTCCTATGGGCGCTTTTTGCTTTACGATGTTAGGGACCTTGCCTCGCAAGACGGTTAAATTTTAGGTCCCTGTTTTTCACTTTCCGATGTTTTTGGCAGCTTGGTCTTGCTTCACTATATGAGTCTTTTAATGGTCTCTGTTTCGTTAGATGGCTGTCTTCGCTTGGGAACTGCGTTTCACTTAACGATGTTTCCTATGGCAATTTTCCCTTTATGATGGCAATCCGCTCCCATTGGAACGGATTATCAAGTTTTCAATGCATTTCAATGGCAAAAATTGTTTCGCAAGATGCTGTTTTCGCAAGATGATGTTTTCGCTTAACAGTGATTTTCACAGAATGAATTAACATCGTCTTGCAAGGCACCACTGTATATTTATTTTTATCATCTCTCTTGGGGGGTTGTGATTTATTGAGCTGATCTAGCATAGTGGGTTGGAGCTCCTGGCTGAAGAGCCACAAGGGCTGGGAGCTTGCACGGTTGATGGGACTACACATCCTTTAGCAAGCTGTGCAGTTCCAGAGCACCCCTGCAAACAGGAACTGGGAAATTGTTTCTGAGGATTTTATACCTAGAAAACTCTGGCAAGCTTGCCATGAATCCAGAAGGACTTGATGGCACATGCTGTACTCATTTACTTGCTTAAAATATTTTTACCCCACCTTTCTCCTTAAAAAGGACCCAAGGTGGCTTACATCATTAAAAGACAATATTTGAAGTTAAACACAGTAAGTATGATTGTTGTTATAAAATTTGCATCTGGTATAGTTATAATTTATTATTATCACATAAGATCTTCGTGATGTATATACAGTAGTTATAATTTATTATTATCACATAAGATGTTCGTGATGTATATACCTACCTGTATATCTATATTGATAGATTTATAACTATTCATTAATTAGCTTAACAAGGGCTGGACTCGATGATCCATAGGGTCCCTTCCAGCTCTGCACTTTTAAGAGGATTATTATATGTTGTTATGTGCCATGAAGTCGCTTCCAATTTGCAGCAACCCTTAATGACACCACATTGGGAAAGGTCGGTGGCAGGCAGGCAGACAAATAAGATCTGTTAAGCTAATGCAAATGGGGTCTGTGTGTTCAGGACAGCATCCGAGACATCACAGATTCCCTTATTGCCCAAAGTGAGGAGAAGAAGTTGGACCCTGACACTAAGCTTCAGCTGTCATCTAGAGACATAGCAGACCTTGTGAATGACCTCTTTGGAGCTGGTAAGGATGGACTGCTGCAGGTGAACAGAAATAAAATAATTCATCATATACTGTATATTTATTTATTGGACTGTATATATGGTGTGTGTATATACACATATAGTTTATATACATTGTATATGTACAGTGGTGCCTCGCTTTACGATTGCCCCACATTACGACAAAACCGCATTACAACGATCTTTTTGCGATCGCAAAACGATGGTCTGAATAGGGTTTTTTCACTTTGCAATGATCGGTTCCCTGCTTCGGGAACCGATTCTTCGCAAAATGACGATTTTCGGACAGCTGATCGGTGGTTTCAGAATGGCCACCAGGTAAATAAAATGGCTCCCCACTGTTTTCTGGGGCGCATTCCTTGCAAGACAGCCACCGAAAATGGCTGCCCTGTGGAGGATCTTCGCTGGACTGTGAGTTTCCAGCCCATTGGAATGCATTGAAGGGGTTTCAACGCGTTTCAATGGGCTTTTTATTTTCGCATTACGACGTTTTTATTCTACAGCGAGTTCGCTGGTACGAATGAACATCATAATGTGAGGCACCACTGTATATACTCTGTGTTGTGTGTATAAAGTTGTACATATATGAGGGGGGAAGAGGGAGGACGAGAGAGAGAGAGAGAGAGAAAGGTATGCATTTACTGTGTTGTCCAGATCAAAAGGAGAAATATAAGTAGAGACTTTTCACGGGAGGTCATCAAGGCCACTGGCCTCTAGCCCTCCTTCAGGTTCAGCACCTCAGAGAGCTGCTTGACAGGTCAAACGAACACCTAGAGCAGAGGTGCCAAACTCAGGTTCATCTTCGGCCGCATCGGCATTAGGGTTGCCCTCAAGGGGCCGGTTGGGTCTGTAAGACTATATAAAGGCATCTACTCTTTATCATATTAGATATAATCCTCCTCATTCAATTAGTACTGGTTTTAGTAATAAAATAAGTAATAACTAGCTCTGAAAGTAAGAGTCTATGATCAAAGTCTAGAAATAATGCCAAGGAGATAAGAACAGGAGTGGGCAATAGCGAGGACTACATTTCCCAAGGTGCTATACGCCACCCAAGCGGCTGCACTTTCTGACTCTTCGCTGCTTGGAATGCTAGGATTCGAAGTTCCACTGGGCGGATTCCCAGCATCCTTGTGGAGCATTCTGGGTGATTGAGTAAGCGCCTGCATATTGTATGCTGCACAGTAGCAGGCAATACAGTGGTGCCTCGCTTAACGAGCGCACCGTATAACGACGAAATCGCATAGCGATCCGTTTTTTGGGATCGCTAATGCGATCGCTTACCGATGGCCCCAATGGGCGAAAATTGCATTGCGAAGACTGGTAAGTGGTTCTAAAATGGCCGCTGCGTGACCCAAAATGGCATCACAATGAGGAAACATCACATAACGGTGAGTAAAGAAGCCATTGGAACGCATTAAACTAAGTTTAATGTGTTCCAGTGGCTTTTTCCGTCCCGTTTAGTGATGTTTCATCATAGCAAAGGTTAATCCGGAATGGATTAGCCTCGCTATGCGGGGCACCACTGTACTTTGAGGGCCACATGTAATGGCCAGGTGGGTCAGATTTGGCCCATGGGACTTGAGTTTGACACATGTGACCTAAAGGAATTCACTGCCCCATTGACCAGGGAGACTCCAACCTCCGCTACAACTACACACACTCCACTCCTGCCTGGGCGTATTGCCCCATGGAGTTGGAAGTAGAACCAAGGCTGTCCCAAGGCAGATCTCCTGCTGAAAGAAGGTTGGTAAGGGAAGGTGGTGTTCCATGTCTTTTGAGTCCAGAGCTGTTTAGGAGTCTCTAAGTAAGGGAGTTAAAACTCAAGGTATGAAATCAAACCACTATGGCTCCCTAAGGATCTTCAGAATACATCTCACTTCCTTCCCCCCTAAAATCATTATTGGGGGAGTCACATATTCTGTATAGATCTTCTCCCAGTCTAAAATGGCAGAACACCTTCTTGCATGGCTTGCTGATCTGGAAGTCGGAGTTGAAAGCTAAACTGAGCTGCTTATTTTGGTCCCACCTTTGGCTCCATCCATCATTTTCACCTTTGGCTCCAGCCACCATGGGATTGGGACCCTTGAGAACTTCTCCGAAAAGAAACGCACTCCTCATTCCTCTGGCTCAAAGGGAGCTCCCAGCCTTCCTTCCCAGGAAGGGATTTTCACAACTAACATGTCGGCATCTAGAAAGCCCTGCCAAAACTTCCCTAAGCTGCTCTCAAATCCATATTGGGTTGGTATTGGGACGGTAGTCCTTGAGCTGAACCTCTAGCAATGGTGCAGTCGATCACAATATACTAGCTAATGGGAGAGTAAAGTGGAGATTGTTTTCAAGCACTGCTTATTTTCTCCTCCTTCTCTTCTGCCTCTTCTTCTTCCTTTCTTTGTATCTGTGCAGGTTTCGACACAGTGACCACAGCTTTGTTGTGGTGTCTCACATATCTCACTGCGTATCCAGAAATCCAGAAGAAGATTCATGAAGATATAGGTAAATTCAGACTCATAGAAGGGCCTGTCCTATCATTAGGCAGAGTAAGAGGAATTCCTTCAGTGCTGGATTTGGCTACAGGCAGCTTCATGCCCCTTGTTGCCCCTTCTTGACTCCTTTTACTTCCAGTTTTCATTTTTTAAATTTATTTTTATAAGCAATGTAGCACATATGTACTGTCCTATAAAATGTAAAAAAAATTACTTCCTCTGCCCTTCCACAGAGCAGAGGAAGTGTTTAATTTACCAATATACTGAAGTGGCCATCTTCTTAAGTCACCTCATGGTATGGGAAGTAGACAGCAGAAGGAGGCGAGTCAAATAGGGTTGCTTGAGGTGTATATCCCATATGGATGTGAGGATTACCGTATTTTTCCATGTATAAGACTATACTTTTGTCTAAAATCTTTAGACTAAAAATTGAGGCCCGTCTTAAACACGGAAGTAAGCTGAGGAGAGGAAAAAACAAGGGGAGGAGAAAGCAGGGATCAAAGTGATCCTACAAGGGCTTTGATCCCTGCTTTCCCCTCCACTTGGTAAGCCTTAGCGAAAGGAAAGCAGGGATCAAAGTGCTGCAGGAGGGCTTTGATCCTTGCTTTCCCCTCTGCTTACTAAATCCCATGGGGCTTAGGTAGTGTAGGGAGAAAGGATCAAAGCAATCCCATGGATGTATAAGGGGGGAAAGGAGCACAACAATCATGCAGTCATGGGATTGCTTTGATCCCTTTTCCCCTCCTTTTACTAATCCCCACGGGGCTTAGCATGAAGGGAGAAAGCAGGGTTCAAAGCACTCCTACAGTGCTCCCTTTCCCCCTACACTTGCTAAGCCCCACTTAGATTTCTTAATTTTGGGTTAGAAAAGTGTGTGGGGGGGGTCCTTATACATGGAAGCGTCTTATACACAGAAAACTACGGGTACACCAAATGGCATACTGGACCTTTCTGTGACCTTTAGCAACCCTATTTAGTCAGCTCTGGACCACACCAAGGAGCTCATATAGACAAGCTCTTTCTTTCTTTTTCCTCTACCCTATAGATGAGATCATTGGTAGAGAGAGAAAGCCACGGCTCTCAGATCGGCCCCTGTTACCTTATACAGAAGCTTTTATCCTGGAAATGTTCAGGCATTCATCTTTTCTGCCCTTTGCAGTTCCTCACTGGTAAGTTCTGAGAATTGAAGGGGCATGTGTCTTCTGGTGAAATCCTTAAAGTCAGAGGAAGATATTTGTATCCACTGGACAAAGAACACTCTGTACCATCAGTAAATTACCCATCTACAGCCTCTGCACCAGATCTAGCCCTGCCATTGTACAAAGGAGGTAGCGGCCTCAGGCAGCCGACTTAAAACATTGTGGACAGACAGCACCTTGTTTATGGAATGGATGGATGTTGACTGGGGTTTCCTGCCTGAGGTGCCCAACTGTGAGGCACTTTGCCTGCGGATTCCCTGGCTTGGCAAGAGGCAAGGCGAGATGACCTTTCACTTTCCTTTCCTACCTGCAATATACAGTGGTGCCCCCCATAGCGATGATAATCCGTTCCGGAAAAATCGTTGCTATCCAGAATTGTCTCTATCCGAAACAAAAAAGCCCATAGGAATGCACTGAAAACCCTTCAATGCGTTCCTATGGGCTTAAAACTCACAGTTATGCGAAAATCCTCCATACCGCCACCATTTTCGCTGCCCGGTAAGCGAGGAAAGGGCGCGAAAACACAGTGGGTGGCCATTTTTTTCTGGCGGCCATTTTGGAACCACCGATCAGCTGTTGTTAAAACATCGCCTATGCGAAAACTGGCAAGCGAAACAGCTTACCGATCATCACAAAGCGATTTTTTTGCCATTAAAAACATTACAATGCGACCACTTTTGCGATCGCAAAAAACACAGCGCTATGTGGATTCGTCGTTAAACAAATCGCTCGTTATGCGGGGCACCACTGTACTTGATTCCCTGCAAATTGCCTCACTCTGTTTGCCTTTCCCATCTCGTTTTAAAATGAAGTTATGTTCCTCATCTGTTTGCAGCACAATCAGAAACACCATCTTGAACGGCTACTACATCCCAAAGGGCCTCTGTGTCTTAATCAACCAATGGCAGGTCAACCATGATGAGTAAGTAAGTTTCTCCAGACCCTTGAAGGGCCACGGGATTTCCATCTAGACCTTGAGGCTGTAGTGCAGAGGTCCGAGAATCCCAAAGATCTGGGTAGATGCAGTTCCCCAAAAAGGTCACTTTTGCAAACTGTAGTTCCAGCTACCCAAAGGAACCGTGTGTACGTGTGCAGAGTGTTTGTGCAAGGGGAGGGAGGCCGAGAGAGATTTGTATAATTTATCCATGGGAATCCTCCGTCTCACCCTTTACTATTGGCATATGCTGTCCAGAGGCTGATGGGAGTTAGAATGTGAGAACTGCAGAGCCATACACTCCCTACCCACAAAACAGAGCAATCATGTTTATATTTATAAATATGTAGCCTGCAGGATTAAAACATTGTAAACTGCCCATAGAGTGCTTTAAGCACTATGTGGGGGTATATAGGGAACAAGTTAAGCACCGATGGGAAAAGACAATGAATCAGATTTGCATTATATTTGTATGAAGTTTGCACATGCTGTTTCTTATGAATAGACAGAGATTTAGAAATCATTGCTAATCTGATATGCAGGAAAATAAACAGATAATGACTGAGAGACACCAAGGTACCCTGAACCCTTAGCAGCAGCAGAAAATCTCTGCCTGTAAAAGTGATATGATTACCCTACCCATTGTCTTCCTGAACACATATAAAACCTCTTCAAATAATCTCTTCAGGGACGACCACCTTTTATTGAAAAAAAGAATGCACAGTACAGATTGGCTGACTGCCATGGCAATCATGCAGCCCCTTCCTTCCCCCTGCCCCCACCCCAACCAATGCAAGGTTAAACTTGTCTTAACCAGATATGGGAGAATTTCCCCTTACAGACTAGAACTCCAGAATAGCAAAGCATGTATGGCATTTGGCCAGAATGGAGGAGGGCCTCTTGGGAGTTATAGTCCAATAGAGTAACTTTTCCCATTTCTGTTTTTTTTTAAATAGTATTAAAGAAAAGAAGTCATGAAGAAGACTTCAAAAAACACCCACCCTGGAATCTGTCATGAAATTCAACTTCCAAAAATGTGCATCTTATTTATTTTTTTAAATGTGCTCCCTTTCCAGGAATCTTTGGAAGGACCCGTCCTCGTTTAGACCAGAGCGTTTCCTTACAGCGGACGGGAAAGGCATCGACAGGGTCGAGAGTGAGAAGGTCCTGATGTTCGGCCTGGGGAAGAGACGGTGCATCGGGGAGCAGATTGCCCGCTGGGAGGTCTTCCTCTTTCTGACCACTTTGCTCCAGGAACTGCACTTCAGCGTCTCTGAGGGGGTCAAAGTGGACTTGACCCCGGTCTACGGCCTGAGCATGAAGCCCAAAAGATGCAAACACTTTCAAGTGAAAGTGCGGTCCCCAAACGAGAGCAACGAGTGAAGGACCAAAAAAATATATATGTTGCCAGGGAAACAAAGGAAAGCGAAGCCCCGGTTTCAACACTTCCTTGTCTGTGTATGTGCACAGAAACCCCTCACCACAGAGTCAGAATGAGGGTAACCTTCTCTTGCTCAATATCGCCACCATATTTCTGAGTTGGGATGAAATGTATCACTAATAAAAGGTGGTTTCTAAAACCCACTGCCAGGCCCAAGACATTAGATATTAAAAGTCTGTGGGTTTTTGCTCCCACCCACCCCCAGGGAATTAGATACTCAATTTACTGACCTTGAAACAATGAGAGGCAAAGGAGACCTCAGCCCATCACGATTGAACTCCTGTCATGAGCAGAGTCTTGACCGCAGTACTGCCGTTTAACCACTGTGCCACAAGGCACCTGTCATACCAAATATCTTGATATTATACAGTGGTGCCTCGCATTACGATGTTAATTCGTTCCAGCAAAATTGCTGTAGAACGAAAACATCGTGAAGTGAAATTTAAAATCCCATAGAAACGCATTAAAACCCGATTAAGGTGTTCCTATGGGCTTGAAACTCACCGTCCAGCGAAGATCCTCCACAGCACAGCCATTTTCGCTGCCCATGCAGCGAGGAATCCGTCCCAGAAAAGAGCGGGTGGCCATTTTGTTTAGCCGGTGGCCATTTTGAAACCACTGATCAGCTGGCCGAAAATCGTCGTTTTGCAAGAATCGGTTCCCAAAGCAGGGAACCGATCATCGCAAAGCGAAATTCCCCCATAGGGAACATCATTTTCCGATCGCAAAAAATTCATTGTAATGCGATTTTGTCGTTAAACGGGGCGCTCGTCTTGCGAGGCACTACTGCACCTTCATTTCCTCCACCTTCTCCATGAAAAATGGTCCATAATACATGGAATAAAATAAAATATTTGGATAATGGATTTGCGAAGGGCTTTATTTTATTTCGGACCTTACAGTTCCTTGTTTTCTCTGCAGTAGAAAAGCAGGGATATAAATGTCTTTGATACATGTGTACCTGAAAAGAAATAATATTGATGACTTCTGCTGCCCCATTTCTTCCACACAGTGAGGTGAAGTGGGCAAAGCAGCAGTCATTTACCCATGGGAGGGCCAGGCTTGGTAGAAGGAGTCAGTCACCTCAGCCATTATTTATTTATTTAAAATACTGATATGCCACTGTTTTCCTGAAGGACTCAAGGCGGCTTACAGCATTAAAGAAAACAAACTGAATACATGATTACATTATTTTAAAAAGAATCCAAGAAATAACACATTTAAACCCACAATAAGAGCAATACTAAGGACACATGTAAAACCATCCTGGGGGCATTTAAGAGATACCATATTTTTCCGTTAGAAGATGCTACTTTTTCCTAAAATCATTACACTAAAAATTGAGGGGCGTCTTTTACAGAGATGTAAGCTGAGATAGCTGAGGAGAGAACAAAACGGCACATAACTTGCCTCTGTAAACAGGCTTCCTCCAATCACGAGTAGAGATGGGGGTATTCGTTATGACCATACAGGTGGACATAACAAAGGTCCCGCCCCCTTCCCCTGCGCTCCCTTCCTATCGCTCCAGAGCTTGCGATCTGCGAGCCACTCTTCAACCTGGCAGTGAGGAAGGGGTGCACCCCATGTTGTTAGTGGTTTGTGTTTACAGGTATATGCATGGTGAGATAACTTGGATAACTTAGTAAAGATAACTTAGTAGAGTCCCATGCCTTAAATCAGGGGTGTCCAACCTTTCACCTTCCCTGGGCCACATTAAAAGATGAAAATTTGGTTTGGGCCGCACATAAATTTGGTTTGAGCCGCATGGGGGGGCAGCCCTAGCCGTCCTCCGCAGCCCCCCTCCAAGCACGCTTACCGGCAGCTGCAATCTCAGACCGCAGAGGCTGCCAACTTCGACTCCGGTGGCTTTATGGGGCCAGGAGGGGGTCCACCTATTGACGGGGACGGTGCAATGCAGTCACACAGCCCCCCTCTCCCCTCCCACTCCTTCCTTCCTTCCCTCTCCCCCCCCTACCGTTGTGACGTGCCCCAGCCGCATTCCGTCCGCAAGCACGGGCAGTGTAACTTGAAACTTTGGAATTTCTTTAAAAATAAAAAAAATTGCACTGGGCCACATTATGAGCCGACCTGGGCCGCATGTGGCCCTTGGGCCACAGTTTGGACAAGCCTGCCTTAAATAGTTGTAAGTATAATACTGAAGCCGTTTACAGCTAATGTGTTAAATTATGATTCTTCAAAGCTAACATATAGAAAGTGCATAAAACCAAGGGCTAAGTTAATGGGCTTACCCCAAAAGAGTAACAGCATTTATTTTATTCAAGATATGCATTTTTGGGTAATGCTGAGGGGAAATATATACGTTACGGAAACTTCCAGAAATTGGGTTCCATACCTGCAGGTCTTGTACTTGATCTAAAAATGGAGAAGCAAGATGAAATGGGAAATTACTTCAGAGAGAGAAGGAAGAAGCAGCTATGACTATCAATCTGCATGTAGATCTAGAAAAGACAGTAGTGTGAAAACACACTCAGGCTAATTATCTGCATCTTCCCATCCCCTTCTTTCAGGTCACTCAGTGCTGTATGACGCACAGTTTTTTTCTGGTTCCCACAGCTGCCTCAGGTGTGGTAGCTGAGGTCAGGCCATCCCCAGTGAGGAAGTGAGGTTCAGATGCCAGTCTAATGGTGCCCATGTTGTAATTTACTGCAGGCAGCAACATGCCTGGGGCCAACCCTAACCCAAGATCACTCAGTGAGCTTCATGAACCCAAGATCCCCAGATGCAAACCAGAGTTTGGAAAAGTTATTTGGGGGGGGGGGTAACTGATCACTCCCAGGATCTCATAAACAGCCATGATGCCAGTCATGCTGGCTGAAGGTCAGAGAGTAGAAAAGTTATTTTGGGGGGGGGGGGAGGAATTGATCACTCCCAGAATCTCATAAACAGCCATGATGCCAGGCATGCTGGCTGAAGGTAAGAGAGAATGCTGTAATTTATAATCCATAGAAGAAAATCTTCCCAAATTCTAGAAACCAGCAAAGCAGCAGAAGGATGTGTTTCTGATTTCTTGATTGCAGTTACCCCGAGGACCAAACAAATTAGCAAAAGCCACAATGGCTGCATCACAGGTGCCCTTATCTATATTTCCACATCCTGAGAAAACCATTTCATGTCATTTTTCAGGCCTCCATGCAATAGCCAGGAAAGAAACAGGAGCTGAAATCCTGCCGCTTCATGGAGGAAATTGCCTTACAATAGGTCCACGCCTCCATGCAATAGCCAGGAAAGAAACAGGAGCTGAAATCCTGTCGCTTCATGGAGGAAATTGCCTTACAGGAGGTCCACTGCATTGGTGGGGATTTCGTGAGTCAATTCTTCTGTACGTTCCATTGATTGTAATGGTCTTACTCTGCTTGTGACTTCGTGTCTCACATTCCCCTGTTTTGTGGGGGGGAAAGTGCGTCTTATGGTGCGAAAAATACGGTAGTGGGGATTTCATGAGTCAATTCTTCTGTACGTTCCATTGATTGAAATGGTCTTACTCTGCTTGTGGCTTCATGCCTCACATGTAGAGTAGGCCCATTTGAATCAATGCAACTTACAGAGGCATTGAATCACCAAATCCCCATGGAATCCGTGGGCCTATTCTAGGGCAATTCACTACACTAAGAAACAGGGATTCAGGCATGAAACGGAATCAGTTGGTGAATGAATAACCTTCCCGGTATTTGGCCCAATAAACTGCTGAGGTTTAGTCATGATTAAGGGTCACGTCTGAATGGTTTTGTCCTCATATAACTTCCTTGCAGGCATCCTAGGAAGACGAAACTTTGGCACGCTGAATAGTTTGACAGAGCTGCTGGGTTTGCACTCATGATGAATGACGGATACTGTATATATACTATTTTAAAAGAATTACAGGGAATGGTTGGTGGCAGCTTAGTTAACGTGTGGCAGATCCCAGTAGGTCTGGGTTTGTCACAACGGACACTGTATATATAGGTTGTAATGTTCATATGATCAGCCAGCCAGAAAAAAAAGACCAGGAAATACCTACTCTGGCTCCCTCTAGAGGCACATCCTGATATTGTACCTTGAATTTTAGAGGAAGGACAAAATCCAGGAGCCCTTCCTTTCCCACTTTAGATTGATAAGAGGATGCTACAAGAAATTCTAGCCAGATTCCTAAAAAGATTTTTTTTTTAATAATCATCATCTTGATATTAGACTGTGACTTCCCCACATGCCTTTTGTGACAACTTGCTTGAAGACAAGATATGAAGATCTCTAAAGCTTTGACACGGGTTTGAAATGGGTGTTTTTGTTTATTTCTTTGGTTTGTTTGCTTTGGTCAAAATAAACACATTTTCACAGCCATGTGTCTCTGGGAAGGTATTTTCTTTCCTGTTCTTGTCCCTTCCCTGCCACGGGTGGGAGAGGGACTCGGTGGTGTTTTTTGTGCATCAGCTACCCGAGTAACCTTCCACTGGCTTTGCTTCTTGGTTCATCCAAGAGGTTCATCAAGAGACATTATTTCCTCAGGCAGCAAAATGTCTTGGACTTGCTCTGGGAAGGGTGGTTGGGCCCTGGAAACTCACGTGAAGGAGGTGACAAAAGGCTTTGAGGAAACTCAGTAGCCAGGCACAAAGACGAGGGTTCTCTATTGCTATAATCCCAATAACTAGTACTCCAGGATAGACTGCTTGAGGATCTGGAGGTTTCACTTATAATGGAGAGGATGGAGCAGGGTTTGAATTCCTTCTTATGAGAAACGAAGTACTGGGCACCCACTCTTGGAAAGAGATTAAAGAGATTCTTAGAGGATGAGGTAATCAATGGCTGCTATTTATGATAACTGTTTGTTATATTTTTATGCCACTTTTCTCCCAGTGACATCTAGTTGTTTCTTTGTTCTTTATTGCATTCTTATCCCCCTTTTCCTCCAACAAGCTCAAAAGGAACCCAGATCTGAGTGCGTGATATGTCACAAAATTACTTTTTCACAGAGCATGTGCTTAAAACTGTGGGACTCTCTGCCACCAGACATCAGGAGGAGTGGCAACTTGGACAGCTTTAGAAGGAGTTTAGACAAATCCATGGAGATTATGAGCCATCAGCAGTTACTGGTCAGGAGGGCTAAATATCGTCTCCAGTAGCAAAAACAGCCGGTCTCTGGGTCTCAGGTGCTGGGGAAAACGACAG